TTTTTGGCTGTGAAAGGCGCGATTAATAATGTTGCCATAGCAATGGTGATCTTCTCACATGTGGAGATATCATGTTTTCTCGCAAAAGCTCACCTGGTATTTCATTGGTGTTTACATAACAGGCCGATAAGTCAATGATATTCCTTAACTCTTGTTCGTCCTATTTCACACTTCAGCATATTTTGCATCAGTCGATCAAACTCTCCTAACCAAACGTTGAATTTCAGTTTCATCTGGACATTTCAGGTTGTTTAGAATACTCCTGATTTCCTCGGCATTGGGGGATGACTTCACAAGTTGGGTGATATCCCTTGGCAAAACGGAAGAGTCAGCAAAACGCGATGCACGCGTGAAGGCATCAGCCACGTTTCTGACCAAGGCGCCTGTGGTGGCGCCTGCTGAAGTAGTGAAAGTGAAAGTTCTCTTTAAGGAATCCAACTGTTTTCGAAGCTCTTCACAAGCACTGCGATCACTGTTAATGGTTCCCTGCACCTCTGCGAGCCTAAATCTTCGCTCTTCCTCAGCGCTAAGATTCGAATTACCCGCTCCAATCACGGCACTAAGTCCGCCCCCTGCAGCACCAAGTCCGACCCCTGCAGCAGTTATCCCTAAACTGGTCCCAAAGGTAAAGGGTGCGGCCAAAATCCCGCCCACAACAGCCCCGACCGCAGCCTTGGTCACCATGCCACCCGTTGTTCTTAACATAAGGTTTCTTGCCAAATGTTCTAATACTTCTTTAGTATGTCTTCTAATCGGTATCCAGCGACGGAAAGCCTGATGTAAGTCTTTGCGAAGTCTATCTAACGTTTGGTTAGCTGTTGTGAAAGGAAGGAAAAGTAAATACGTAAATACAGCGAGTAAACTTGCAGTCACTCATATGGTGGGAATCAAAATGCAAGAGAGTTCATGTAAGAAGTCTTGATTCGTGACAACCCTTTCGTAAGTCAAGCCTTTTCCCAGATATAAGTTTTGTACCATCAGAAACAGTAAAAACCCACGAGTAAGACTGATCATGACTACCTGGTTTTTAGGAACCTGATAGGCTGAATTCAAATGAAGATATGATAGTCGCAGTTGTAATTGCAATTTAAGCAATTTCAAATTAACCCGAAAAAAAAAAAATCGGGACTTCAAAGGGATTCAAACCCAAGGCCTCTGCGTTAGCGTGCAGTGGTCTACTAATTTTTTGGGGTTAATTTGCAATTGCTTTAATTGCAATTACCACTGCGACGATCATATCTTCATTTCAATTTGCTTTTCCGCAATTCACATCATCTTCACTGTTGGATTAAAATTGGCCAGTCTGGCCCCCTCGAAACAGGAACCTGTTCAGCGTAAAATTTGATACAGGTTCTTATTTTCTAAAACCTATAAAAAATTCTATACATTTGGGTAAATAAGATAAGTCATCATTTACTCAGGTTCCTCTTTCGAGACATCGACTCCGAGGTGCCTTATCGCTCCAACTGCACTGTACTGGTTTGCAGATTCTTTATGAGGAATAAGCTGAATGCTACAAAATACTCTTAGTTACCATGATATGTATTCTTTCCGTCAGCCCAAAAAAATATTTTTTTCAAGAACCTAAATAGCCTAAATTTGTGTTAACTACCATTATGTAAGAAGCTATTAAGGCTAACTTCGGAAGACGCACGTTTCTTACTCGCGGGTTTTTACTGTATCGGATATCAAATCTTGCCACTTAACAAAAAAAAACCACTTTATTAATAAAGAAATAACGCAATGGCAGTTCCTTGAAGTGAGGGACCTCTAGACCCCTTAAAAAAGAAGAAAAACTAAAGTACGTTCACGTTAAAATATTGAGACTTTTCACGCATCACGAATAATTCCTTCAATTTCTTCACGTTCACGTACTATTAAGTAATTCACGTTTCACGGATGGGTGAACATCTAATTCGTGACAGCCCTTCAATAATTATGTCGATCCTTGTCTTTTGAATTTCCTTTTTGAATTCGAATTAGCGGGGGTTCGAGTTATCGTGATCGATGGAATGTCAAATTTTCCATCTTAGTAAGTAATAGCATGTAATAGTTACTGATTTTTTGGCACTTCGGTGTATAGTACAATGCAAATTTAACTTATTTCATCAGAAACGGTAACGTGATTATGCTTCTGGTGATAAAACTTGATCTGTTCGTTACACCAATCAAAATCAAATTGCTGTAGTGTTAGTTTTAGTGGTTTTACCGATTATACAACAAGAAGAGCTATTAAATGAAATGGCATCTGAGTGGTGTCACAAGCACGAGTTATCAGGGTGAAATTCAGTGGAAGTTTGATCAAGGGAAAGGAAATTTAGTTCGAGTTAGCGGGGAGTTTGAGTTATCTAAGCTCGAGTAAACCGAGTATAAAAGACTGCAAAGTGGGATGAAATCAAAGGGAAATTACATTACGCGCTTATAGGGTTTCTAAGCTGCTTTATTTTCAAGGATTTTTCAGGCGAAAAAAATAGAGTACAAAGAGTTTTGGTATTAAATTTGGCTGAAATTTCTAAATCGTTCCTTATTTTTATCGATTTAAAAATCACTGAAACAAAGTTTACTACCATTCAGAGCCCGTTTGTTACTTTTGAACAAACACTTTGTTCGCAGTCTCCATGCCACATGTGCACGTGAACACTTTAAATTTGCGCTCATCTTTAATCTTTAAGTAATGATCCGGGTAAGGTGGATAGCACTTTCTTTTGTTATGCGGCAACGGTGCTTTCCCCGCATAGGAATGTTCTCGTTTTTACACAGGGAATGCATAAACCTACATGAAGGCCGTTTACCCAATAAAATGCATTTACACTCCAATTTGAAAGAGTGTTTTTTTGTGTTAAAAGATTCTGACCAATCACAAGAGTTGAAAACAATAGCCAAGAAAAGTTTACAATTTTATATGTTCCCCACATAGGATTTCTTTGTTATTCAAACTGAGACCAGATTTTGTTATACGGAAGATGGCTGGAAAGTAAGGATGAATATATGTACTGCTTTATGAAGTTTTGTTGAACAAAATCGGAGTAGCGGCGGCAATGATGGGAGAAGATGTGGATCAAGCCGTTAAACGTGGAAGCTGTGAAATTGTTTACTGAAGTGCCAAATCGTGGTTGTCTAATGAATGGACAAAAGGACTTCAAAAGGAAAGCTTGGAAAGCAAGTTGCAGCTATCGCTATTGACGAGGTCCACTCAATCACCGAATAGTAAATTTTCCCTTCAATTGTTGTGCATTTTCATCGCTTGAGTTAACGATCTGTATTGAAACGGCTTTCTATCGAAATGAGCGATATTTGTTTGTCACTTGATTCATAATTTTTTGTCACGTACACGCTGAAATCATGTTTTAAAGCCGTAAATAAATTCATTATACATGAATACTTCTCCCGCCTTCTATTGTCTGAAAGTCTTACATTGGGTTNGGAAAGCTTGGAAAGCAAGTTGCAGCTATCGCTATTGACGAGGTCCACTCAATCACCGAATAGTAAATTTTCCCTTCAATTGTTGTGCATTTTCATCGCTTGAGTTAACGATCTGTATTGAAACGGCTTTCTATCGAAATGAGCGATATTTGTTTGTCACTTGATTCATAATTTTTTGTCACGTACACGCTGAAATCATGTTTTAAAGCCGTAAATAAATTCATTATACATGAATACTTCTCCCACCTTCTATTGTCTGAAAGTCTTACATTGGGTTTTTAGTAAGATTATTTATACATAATATTAATTTTTGATCTGGCAAACTTCGATTTATTCGCAAGAAAATAATAAATGCATCGGGCTGTAACACCAGTCTTGATTGACAAGTGAAGACCACCTGCAGCTGATGCGAGATGCGGTCTGACTGGGCGGAAGAGTCTATTTAAAACAAATCTAACAGGCGTTTCCTCTCTCACCTCTCCTCCTCTCTCGCTTTTATTTTTTCGCGCTCGTTTTTACTTCGCACCGCTCCCCACTATCTGAACGCCTGGAACAGGCTACATTAAAAGTTACCCTGTGCTGTACCCGGGGAATTTTGGTGAAAAGAACACGTACTTTTTAAAGGGAATCTTTGGAGAACAAATAACAAAGGTGAGACTACACAAACAAAATACTACGTTGAGCAACTGAACAAGCCTGTTTGAACGCAACACTTTTCGTGCGGCATTAACTCAGTAACAGCTTGCATAAAAAAAAAAATTGCTAATTCACCACACGACAACAATCAATGAAAATCAATCATGGATTTCAATCAATATATAAATCAACAAAAATCAATCAAAATCTATTAATATTGATTGGCTGAGCCAATCAATAAAAATCGATAATCAATCACCAATGCATCTAAACGTTATTGATTTTCATTGATTGCTTTTGATAATCAATAGTTGATTGTGCAACAGTAAAAAACCGGGTAGGCATTTGCTTAAACGCTGGTTAAACGGGATCGCAAACACAACAACGTTGCTATGTCTGTGGAAATTTCTATTTCCTGTGTAGTCAAGGGGTATCACCACTGTCCTTTTAAAGAAAAGAAGGAGAAGTGTCTTACGGTTCCAAGAAGAGGGGAGAACACGGTAACGCATTCAAAGTTTGAAGCGAAAGAGGACAGTCTGGCTATCTCCAAGTGGATCTTGTCAGCCCACTTTGGCCACATCAAGTAGTTTTCAATAAAAATTAATAATATCAATGTAAATCAATGAAAATCGAAAGTCACTCAAGATTGCGCCTTTAATCTTTATTGATTTTCAATGTCAATCAATTAACTGCTATTGATTTTTATTGACTATTATTGATGTTATTGATTATTGATTTTGATTGAATGGTATCATCTAGTAATTCAGAATAGCTAGAACTTTTCAGGGACTCTCCAGGCCTTGTCGTGAAGACAGAAAGCCTGGTAACGGACGGTCACGTAGGATCCAAAATCTTATGAATCCAGAGACGACTTCATTAGTTCTAGGGATTTTCCTAACCAGTAGTCTGAATTACTGGGGCTAACCTACATTTTTCCCATACTAACCTAAACGCTGTTGACAATCCCTGTAGTCCTCTTCTTTGATATTCGACGTGAGTTTCAATGAAGTAAGATCAAACTGTTTCAGTATGTCCTTTGTCACAAGGTCCATCTGGGCTACTTTACTTAGATGGCCTGTACAATAGTCTTCCCAAAGTTCATCAAGAATTTGCTGCGATCTACACTCCAAAGTGAATATTATGCTCCCCTCTTTGATATCAACAACGGTGACTTTGCGCTCCTTTTTCAAATATTGAAGGAAACCAGTCAACTTGTCCGGGTTTGATGCATTTTGCTGAAAGCACGTACGTGCAATATATTTCGAAACCTCTCGTGACAAAGAAGGGCTTTGAGTCTCACAATCAATTCGGAGATCAATATTAACAGCTATAAAAAAGAATAAAAAATACAAGCTTAATAAATGCATTTACTCCTGGGGGGTACTCCTGGAAATTCTTGGTGGTGGTGTGCCGCCCGGTTCTCCAAATTCTGGCCCTATTTCAGACGAAAAAATGTCATTTTCGTCACCCGTTTTCAGACCTGGAAGTGGTCACAAAACGCAGCATTAATTACATTGATTACATAAAACAGAAATTATGTCATCACTGCTGAGATTAAAACCGCAACAAAAATATCTCTTAAAATCCATTTCGCATATTGCATTTTCTTATTCATATGGAACTGAAACGACGCACATTGATAAACAACCGTAGTTCCTTCGTAAACCATACCCGATTCCAGGCTCTCAGATAGTTGGGAAGACGCAAAAGTAAAAGGCACCCGACTATCTCGGAGCCTAGAATAGGCTAATTCCAGACCAAACTGGGCAAATTAAATTGTGGCTGGCGACGAACCAAACACACAAACGAGGAACGAAACTTCGAGGGGTGTGTCGCAGGGGGTAAGGTTAGGGACTATTTTACGGGTCGTAAACAAGAAAAACACGGAAAACTAAAGGTGACGGTTAAGGGTATGGCGTACGATCCCCGCCAAAATTCGCGGTTAGAATTTTGAATTGCTGATTTACATTTTCAACTGCAACACTTAAATTTTACAGTTCACGTCAAAATTTTACACTCTTCCTTTAGCATTCACATCATCGGAAAACGTTTTTGCACTTATCTTTTAGCTTTTGAACTCAACTTTTTTATTTGACCTTGCTCGNGTACGATCCCCGCCAAAATTCGCGGTTAGAATTTTAAATTGCTGATTTACATTTTCAACTGCAACACTTAAATTTTACAGTTCACGTCAAAATTTTACACTCTTCCTTTAGCATTCACATCATCGGAAAACGTTTTTGCACTTATCTTTTAGCTTTTGAACTCAACTTTTTTATTTGACCTTGCTCGCAGTACGTTTTCAACTCGCTTAGTCATATTACACAGTCACACCTTAAAATTTTCAACTCGACGAAAAAACTTTTATACACTGCTACTTTTTATTAGTTTTGATGCTTGAGCCAGTACTCTACCTTTGACCGAGATAAAAACTTTGCATTCGATACTCACTCGGTGCATTTCGCAAGTCACCGCGTCATATTTCAAACTCAACCTCGTATATTTTGAAGTCAACTTTTGAATTTTTGTTTACGCTTCAGTCATCATTGGTCGAGACAAAAAAAGCCTTTGTGGGGATGGGAGGTGGCGACCGTTCGACCTCCGTCATCTCCGTCCCCGGTCCTTTCGTCCATCAACAGAGGTACTGTTGATCAAGCGGAATACTTTCTTTGTCCTGAATTAGCGATTTTAAGGCTTTGATAGAATGATTTGATTCAACGTTTAAAGTGATCGTCTTACCAGGCGACTCAGTGTCAACCCAAGGTCCTTTACATGCATATAAAAACAAAGTGGATTCCTTCTGGATGTTGTAGTCACTCAAAGTGTGGCCATCTTTCAATTGCTTGCCGACAAACCAGAGACGTTGTTGGTCTGGAAGAATTTTCCCTTTGTCCTGGAGTTTAGCCTTCACATTTTCAATAGTATCACTTGGTTCAGTTTCTAAAGTAACCGTTTTTTCAGTCGGTGTTTTCACAAAGATTTGCCAGCGCCCCCTTGAAAGCGGACCTGGAAAAAATCAAATCAAAGTTTGCTTCTGAGTACTTTCACCAATTTAGAAAGAGACTGAGTTCATGACCAGTAGCAAAGATGACGTATTATTGCAAAAGGTTTGAACCCGGAAGTCATTTCATAAGTAGGGTGAGTATGATCCTCAGAGCCATAGCTAGCGGGGGGCAGCCCCCCCGGACCTGTTGAGTCAGACAGATCAAGTCTGTTGATGGATTTGTTTTCATTAGACTCAGTTATTTTGATTGTAGTGACTTGCAATTGTTTGTACTACATGCCAACGCCAAAGGATATTTATGAACGAAAATCAAACTAGAGACATCTTTTATAGGTTAGTTAACCAAACAATGCAGTATTGTGAAATGCATAGTGTGCTAGTGCTTGGATATACGGTGTGTTTCAAATTAACAGGACCTCATAATAAGCACTTGTAAGCACTGACAACACCTGCCTTATCACACTCACTACACACTTATTAGAGGTCGATTTTTTGGAGACATCTCACGACAAGTGCTAAAAATAGCGTTTCGGAGCCTGCAATTTTAAAAATTTTCTGGGGGACGATACCCCCAGTCCCCCAACTCGCAATCATGCCCCCCACCCTCCCCGCCCCGTTACAAAAAACCTAGTTACGGCCCTGATCGTTGTGGTTGACAGTGAATGGCGTTTCGACAACCTCTGCGGTAGTCATCTTCAAAGTGAGTTGTATCACGTCAGTTGATGATATTAACCCTCGGACGTACAAGGGGGTAGGGGTGGATGCCCCCCCCCCCCAAGGTATTTCTGAGTTTTCTCCTAGACAATAAAACATCAGCACCTGATGTTTTCAGTAGCTGTTCGTTCATCCCTCGCTCGCATTTTGAGTCAAGTCCAGTGATGGTCAGTTTCTACGGTTACGAGATATGACGTCATAAGTAAGAGGTGGCCAAGCCATTTTTGAGTTAAGTACATGTTTTTTCAACTTTTTTCAACAATAAAAGTAAATCTTGGGGCTAAAATCATGCATAGTGCTTATTTATGTGTTATTTTTCATGTCAAGCACCAAAAAATTACCATTTCTCGTGGTCTTAACCTGCTTTCTAATGTCCTTGGTCGTCTCTCAGTTTAGCCGTGATGTTATTGGCTATGAAGACTCGTAACCGCATTGGTGCGTTTCGATCCTTCTAAGTTCAAGTTCATTTATTCACACTAATTCAATTACAATACAACAACAATAAGAAAAAAAAAATAGAAGTAAAAAGAGAGTTAACTATACATTGAATTAAAGGGAAAAAAGTGCGTAGCAAAGGAAAAAAGTGCGTAGCAGCCAAAGGAGCCAAGATTTCGAGTTGGCTACTACCACAGAGCGGTTACAAGTGGGTGGAGGTTATACAGCACTTATACAAAACTAGTTATGGAGTTCTGGCTAAATTAATCATATTGAAAAGGGAGGGTATGTATGAGTAATAATAATTATTTAAATTAAATAATTAAATAAATAGAACTAAATAACAGGCTAGAGTTGTTCAAGATGCCTGACTGTCAGGTAGGAAGGGTTAATATTCTTTTTTAAAACTGTTTAAGAGGAGACACTAAATTTTCATAGGTGTTGCTTCCCAGGTCTGTGATGCCACTACACTAAACCTTTCTTGGCCATAATTAGTTCTGGAAATGGTCTGCACAGGTTTTGATTAGTGGCATACCTAGTATTATAATTATGGACAGCTTTTATTGTCACAGTTAAACAGTCGTTTATTGCATGTCAAATTGTAGGTTGTCCAGTCATTATCCCGTAGTTAGTTTTGTTTGAGTCCGTTTTGTACGGTGCCGGTAACTGTTGACTACGACTTCAGTGGCGTTTATTTTAACTTAGTAACTAGATTTCTAAAGTGAGTCGTTGAAAATTGTCTGTTGACTTCTTTCCCTCTGCAAAATAACGTCTAAGAATATGTGCGACAAAACGATTTCCGTGACGTAAAACCGTTTGTTTTGATGTTCGCCAATCAGATTAAAGGATAGAATGCAGCTCGAGTGACTCATCGCGACCTCGCGCGCTGGCGTGTCTTGGATTTTGGCGAAAGTTACCAAATACGATTTGGAACGTGAATTTCACAACTATAACGAGGTTTCCTGCGACGTTGAATGCTGCAACCGCGCATTGGAAGTAAATTACCACAAGTCCTAGCTTTCAAAGATAAAGGATACTAAAAAACAGGGGCACCAAACGTCAATTTTCGGAAAATATCTGTTCGGAAGACGATTTGAAATCTAGAATTTTCGGAACATTTGTAGGAAAATTTCTTGCTTGCTTGCCTCTCCTAGGATTTACGAACATCTAAAAAATGGCATAATTGCCCGCTTTTAACATATTTTTACCCTAATTAGTCTCGCTTGCTTTAGAAAAGCGAGACTCTTAAAATGCACTCGTTTTTTTTTTTTTTTTTTT